ACACACACAATGAGAGGTCTCCAGAGCTCAAACAACAGACAGGAAATCGGAGAAGCACAGTGGGCCCAGTGTGGCGCCCTGAGTGACCCCCAAACAAAATCACACTATGCCCCACTGTCTCCAACAGAGACCGAGACCCAACACCACAACACAGCCGCTGATGGAGCTGTCAATCAACAGGTCCACTCAGCTAATGTTTCAACAGGGTGCAGCAGCTACACTAAGACACAAAGCCTCTTGAAAAGTTTATTATCATCCGTATAACTTCAGATTTTCAGTTTCCATCAAGAAAGTTGACTCTGCTGTTTTATTCTTCTGTTTTTCACTGCTAGCATCAAGACAATCCAAAACACTAACTTAAAGGGTTTTATTTAAATAATGTAAGTGTGATTGTCATGTTTAGCCAAAGGGATTCTTTCATTTTTATCCTCTATCAGAACAAACCGGAGTATGACCAATATCTAACTATGTTTAACGTCAGCAGAACATTGGATTTATAAAGTTTGTTTGGATTTTGGAATTAAAACACACTTCCTGCTTGATTTTGATTTGGAGAAGGTGGTATGAACAAAAAGACAGCAGGAGGTGACAGAGTTGAAGGTGCTAACATTGTCATTGTTAGTAACCAGGATGGACAGGGTTAGAAACGAGTACATCGGAGGGACAGCTCAGGTTAGAGAGGTGAGGCTGAATTGGTTTGTACATGTGCAGAGGAGGGAGGGTGGATAATTGAAACTGGCAGGCCAGAGGAAAACAAGAAGACCTCAGAGAAGATTCATGGATGTTGTTAAAGTGGGTGAGATGGAGGCAGATGATCCGCTGTAGTGAAGCCAAAAGTCAAAGGAGTTAATGTTACCAAGTCACAATGAATTTTTTTAACTCGAGGGTCAAGACATCATACCTCACTGGTCACATTTCAATAGTAGTAGTAGGAAAAAAAGGTTTATTTTACTCCACAGTACTACCTAAAGTACAACTCAGTGCCTGTTTTTCTTTAAAACTGTGCTGACAGACAGAGCCTCTTCTATTCTGTGTTGTGCGCTATTATTTAGCAAGTCACAAATGCACAACAACTCCTGTTTACACTCGCTGGATTGCAAATCAGGTCTGGTGTGACTTCTGCAACTTTCCAATTTGGAAATTCAACTTGATGGAGCGTTCTCACTGAAAATTCCAGCTTTTAAACTTGTATCTGGTGTTTGTAGCTTTGTACTGAAAATCTTAGTTGTGAGAAGATTTGAAAACCTCGTGAAAAAAACCTGCAGATTCTATTAGAACAGGACATCTGAGGTGAATAAAGTCTGGGATAAATTTAGATGCTACGGCTTTTATTAAGAACAAATTAGCAGACCAAACCACAGACCAGTGATGCCATGCCCAAAGCCATAATAAAAATTAAAGTAGCATTACAGCAATGAAACGGTGAAAACATGAACCACACAAAGGGACAGCCCACATGAGATCCTGTGAAAACAGCATAAACTGAAGGTCAGAGTCGTGTTCCTACTAATCGTCCGACATGAGCTCATTCAGGAGGAGCTCGAGTTTGTGTGAACGGAGCAGTGAGGACAGTAGAAACAGTAGATGCATGAAGGCTTGTTTCCTCTGGCTGGTGCAGTTTTTATCATTTAATTTAACTGACTGACACACACAAACACACATTATAACCCCTCTGGGCTCTGCTTGACATACTTGCAGTGTGTGTGTGTGTGTGTGTGTTTTCCTGTCACAAGCGATCTCACCGGGACTCATGTTTAATTATCTACCCAGCATGCCTTGGTGCAGGGGCACAGCTCTTTGTCTAATGGGATGTGAAAAGAGACACACACACACACAGATTAACACACAAAATATGAGCACGTACATTCAGACACATGTTAACACATAGTGTCACACACGCACACACACACACACGCTCTGTGTGGTTAATTAGTGCAATTAGCCTCTCCACTGTCCAGAGCTGTGTGTTTTCAAGACTCGTTAGCTTGTGATGAAGGAGAGTCACTGTTTACTGCGACACACACACACACCAAACACGCAGCCAAACAAACAACTACACATATGCTAAACAATAACCAAAACAAAACGACTCGTACAAAAAATAAGAAGTCAATAAACTCACACGCTAAAAACTCTCCAACCAAAACACAAACCAACAGGAAGAATAAAATGCAAAATCAAATGTGCAGTAAACAAACCACAGAACAGAAGCTCAACAAATAACCAAACTCATATAAACATACTGTGAACAAACTACTAAACACTCCATAAACAAATACCCGCACACACTGTCAATAACCCAGCAAACAAAACCTCAATAACCACTCAAACATACAGTAAACAAATTTCAAATACATAAATAAATAACCCACCAAACAAATTGAAGAACCAAAAGAATGCTAGGGAAAGATACAATTCAATTCTTATTTATATAGTGCTAAAATCACACCAGCAGTTGCTTCAAGGTGTTTCATACTGTAAAGTAAGGAGCCTACAACAATGCAGAGAAAACCCCAACAATCAGATGACCTTATTAGCAAAAACATGGTGACAGTGGGAAGAATATCTCCCTTTTGACAGAAAGAAAATCAACAGCAGTACCAAAATAAACATCGATTCTAAAAGTTCAAGCTTCTACCGAGCAACCAACTATATTATGAACCAAAACAAACACAGTACACACATCCAGATCTGTGTGCCTGAGGTGACCACATTCTGTCTTTGATATCAGGCACCTAATTTGGCACCACTGACAAGAGTGGGCTTTCTACCCCAACACCTCACTGGGTTGTCAAACCTGTTTTGGTTCTCAGGGGGTGCTAAGACAGAACTGAAGCTCTGTTGGTGAAAAAACAGGTACATGTTATCTAAAAAAGCAGTGATGCTGGTATTTCAAGGCAGGACATTGATATATATAATGTGTTTGACTGTAAATGACATGTCATTTCAGGACATGTTAAGGACACCATTGGGTCAAAATACTGGTGAAGACCTGCTTTAAATATGATGGCAATAAATCTGCCATGCTTCTTCTTGAAGCCAGTCAGAAAAGAACAGTTTGTCTCTTTGAGCACCTAGGGTTGAGCCCTCTTCTTCTCTGACTTACATCGGCTCTCTGCAGCCCCTTAGCAACTCCGGTGGCGGGGGAAGGCATGCGTTTCCTGGGTCCAGTGGCCTCACATTTCCTCCCTGTCCTCTGGAGGACAGAAGGCCAGAGCCCTGCTGAGCACACACACCAACAAACATAGGCAGACACACACACCCAGCGACACCTCCAGGCTTTGTCCGGGGGCTGTCGGCCGTAGTCTGGAGCCCAGCCTCCCTACTCTCTCTCTGGGCTGGGGCAGGAAGGGAAAGCCCCCGGGACATTCCGTGATGCTAGCCGTCGCCACCACACCCCTGCACACACACTCACACTGGTATCCAGGAAGAGAGTTAATGAGATTCTGCAGGTTCCCACACTGACTGAAAACTTCTTTTTTAAACTTTTAACACTCACTGTTCCCACAGTTTGTCTCCCATCAAGCCTCCCAGCATCCCCACTTTACTCCACACACTACGCCAAATTTCATAATCACACAGATTCTTCTATCGGGAGACGATGGGTTGAGTCAGAGTTTAACAGGTGACTTAAGTGTAGAAAGTGTCGTAATCACAGTTAAGATCCAAGAACTGTTGTGTGTCCAAGGGTAAAGAATGGAAAAGCAAAAAAAAAACAGCTTTATTTGCATGATTGTGTGCAGAAATGGTGATTTGTAAGAGATCAACAAGAGGTCTGCAGTAATTTTACATTGACTCAAGTAGAAGGGGCACTGAAATTGTGATTCTATTTTCTAATCTGTGATGTTTTGAAGTGAAAGACCTAAAGCAGCAAGAGTTCCTGCTCAAAAAGCAGGTACATAGAGGCCAAAGTGACAGATGAGTTGGGTTAAATCAGCGTAAAGTATTCCTTTATATACTCTGTCATTTTAACTTGGTTGGTTGCTTGAGGGTTGAACCTTGAACTTGTTAGAGTGCCTTTGAATGTGTAAGCATTGGATGACTGTCCATGTATAAAGAGATTTGTTTGAGGCCCATAGCATATAGCTGACAGCTGATCACTCGTAGACACTCTGGTTGCATATTTTGTGCCCCATCATCTATCAATAAAGCAACATCCTTCACTCATGCTGGCATTCACATCAGTCCTTTACCTTGCTGACTAAAGACTTCTCAGTTACAAGTTGGTAGTCGATGAGCGTGCAAACCCAAACCCAACCACAGAAAGTCGAGGCTTCACTATGTTACTATGGTTGTGGTTCAGTTCACTGTTGATATTGAAAACTACCTAAACAAACGATAATCTAAAGGAATCCAATCGAATCTAAAGAACAGTCAAGCCAAATTTAGATGAACGATTATTTGGGTGCCAGTAAAAAATGAGTGAGGCAGTAAGAAGAGTTTTTAACCTTTACTCTTTCTCCATTTCCTGCAACCTCCCATCTCACCCCTGAAGGATGTGTTGTTACTGGGTGAGAATAGAGTAGAGGGGCAAGGGAGGAGGGGGGACAGCTCAATATCTCTCCCCTAGGGCTGTTCGGCCCCCGCACACTCCCTCCTCTCTGTCCTCTCTCTGGACTAATCCCAGCAGGCTGAATGAGCTGCTGTTTACACGGAGGGATTAGAGCAGAGATTAGAGCGATCAGAGTTGTGGATTAGACAGATCAGCAGTTAATGATACTCGATCGGCGAACAATGCGTCCACGTCCTTTGGCCTTTCACCACGTCTGTCCCTCTGCCTCTCGCTGTGTCTTATTTTACACTCAAGGGAAGAGTTTAAGGGCATTTAAGGGCATAAAACGCTTGTTTAGTTGTTGTATTAAAGCTAAATTTACGTCCAAATCAAAAGCAAAAAAGTCTGTTTACAGCTTCATGTTTCGGGCAGCAATATGACACTTCATGCTACAGCCATTGGATAGCTGTCAGTTCTTAAAGGTGTCTGTTTCTCTTTTCTCCATCAGGGAGGAGCGTGAGCGCTGGATCCGGGCAAAGTACGAGCAGCGTCTCTTTCTGGCGTCGCTGCCCTGCACTGATCTCCCACTGGGCCAGCAGCTGCTGAGGGCAACCGCCGAGGAGGATCTACGTGCAGTCGTGCTCCTGCTTGCTCACGGGTCCCGACAGCAGGTCAACGAGACCTGCGGAGAAGGAGATGGACGCAACGCGCTGCACCTGGCCAGCCACAAGGGCAACGTGGTCATCACACAGCTCCTTATCTGGGTAAGAAAAAACAGTGCTCGTATTCCAGTAATTCTGGGCTTTAGAGGCAGGAGATGATTGATGACTATCCCTCTCTGATTCTTTCTGCAGTACGGTGTGGACTTGATGGCAAGGGACGCCCATGGCAACAGTGCAATGGCATATGCTCGCCAGGCCAGCTGTCAGGAGTGTGTGGACACGCTGGCTCAGTATGGCTGCCCAGATGAACGCAACCCCCTAATGGCCACACCCAACCTTTCACGCCGCAACACCAATCGTAACAACAGCTGCAGCAGCGCCGGCAGTGCCGCGCTCATATGACCAGACAGTTTCCTGTGATGACTCTGAGAAAAATAAACAAACTTCGATTTGGGAGTATCCTGAACGTTTTATTTTGGGAACCACTACTTTAGCTTTGCCCACTTCACCTGACAACCACCAGTAAACTGATCACAGGTCAGTGGTGACGCTGCGGCCAGGCGTCTGTTTGGGAGAAGAAGTCTAAAGCATGTTGGGAAACATAGCCCACGATCATCAAAGCATTTTGGGAAATGGTCATACGACTTGTGCAGGTCAATGAGTTATATTGTACCTCGTCACACAGCCTCAGATTTCACACTACAAAGGCCAGTTCCCGCTCAGACTCAACAACAAACTGAACTCAAAGCATATCATCTTCTGTCCACAACCTGAAACTGTGAGATCAAATCAATGAGAAGGAAACTCAAGTCTTCGTATCTTCTTTGAGGCAGCCACCCATCAACATCATCTTCACTGCAAATCTCTCGAGGATTCTTTACGACCTCTTCACCTTCTTTCAGCTGTCATTTTTTTAAATTTTCTGCAAACCAACCGGCTTTACACATTTTTGTTCTTTTTTTTTTTTTAATGTGAAAAAAATCTTGATGTTAAAAAAAAATATCAGCTTAGAGGTAAAACATAAGTGTGATAGATCGCATGTCCTAGACACTTTTTCTACTTTAATTTAAGGCATTTTTCTCGACTGTGTATATTGTATCTCGATGTGCATTGCTGGACCAATGGTAAAAAATGCTAACAGGGGAAGGGTTTTTGTTTTTCCTTTTTTTTTAAGCTATCGGGTGTATAAAGTCATTAAGTGTACAGAAGCTCTTGCCAGGCTCAGGGACTGGGGACTGTCGATCGTCAGCGCTCATTGTCTTTTTTCCCAGCGAGTTCTTTAGATGAAACAACCTGTTTTCACTTCACTTACTTCTGACTACATTCAGCACTCAAGTTGCTCAAAATTGCTGGCTTCACTTAATTGGTTGGATGCCTAAGGCATCGAACCAAGAGATCGATTGGTGGCCCTCTGGCAGCCACTGGTCACTGGTTGGCAACTGGTCGCTAGAGGTTGCTGGCAGTCACTAGGTGGTTGCAAAGAGGTGTACAGTACTGTACTGAAAACCTTCTTGCAATTGCTTGGAAGACGCTCCTTGTCTGCAAACACTGACCAATTACTTGCCCAAGCGATAGTAAAACTGCAAAGGGTGCGACAAAAGCTGGAAATGGGGACCATTCGGCTTCAACGTAAAAGTTGCACTTTTTGAAACACAGCATTATTCATTAATCACCATAAGAGCAAAGTGGTCGATCGAGCGGTTGAACATTTTTCTGTATGTTGCCGATAGTTTGTGGCATAAGTTGGTTTATAAATTTGGTTTGCCATCCACATCCTGGCTCAGCTGGGAATTAACCTGCTGATGAGCATCTATATGTAGGATTTCAAACCTTTTCTTATGCTGAAGGTTTTATCGTCTGAACTGAGTGAACTGTAAGCATCTTAAACCCAAACCTGGTTTACATCCTGATGAAAAAGCATTTAATCTGAACTCTGTCCCTGAAGTTAATTTTATTAATGGAAAAAAATGGAAAAGATACAGAAGCAGCTGTCGGAGCAAAAAAGGGAAATTATTGTCTTCAGGTGTTTTGGTTTTGGTTTTTTGGGGGGGGTTTTAATGTTTGCTATCTATCCAGACACAATGATGGGGAGACGGTTGGTGGCCCCTGCCATCACCGCCACTTTTTTATCTATCCCGTCCAATCAGGCAGTCTCCCTGATCTGCTCAGCGAATCACTAAGAAGGGCTTCTTTTTCTTCTTCTCTGGTCTGAAAACGTCTTTGTTGTAAATAATCCTCCTCTCTTTCTCTGTCGCTTTCTCTCTTTCATTCGAAGCATCATGTAAATTAGAGAACACAGTAAGTACTTAGAGTATGTGAGGTTGCAGAGTGGAAGTGGTTTATTCTAATGTGTTATGGTATGGTTTTGGCTCTGTGCTGAACCATGAAGAAACCAGGAAGAAAAACTTTTGCAGGTGTCTAAACCTGTGGTTCCCAACATGAGAATCTTTACAGACTAAAGGGTCAACGGACGGTTTACAGCAAAGGAAATCAGAAAATACAGATCCAAGTTGCTTTTTTAATGAGAAAGAACAAACCCAAAGGGAAGCTTATAAAACGTCTACATCTTCTCAAATTTAGGTCTACCCTGACTTTAACAAATGTGGTAAAAATTAAGTTAAGACGCAGTATAAAAGTGTTGAGTTTACTTTTGGGGGCATTTGGGGCCACAATAGCACTAGATGTGGTTGAGTTTGAGTCAGGCTCAAATCTGATTATTTAATGACAAAGTTAAGCTGGACAGTGGACAGCATACATTAAGACTACCCTGAATGTTTATGGATGTGTTTACATTTGTCCAATTGGTCTGCATGGCCATTAACTGTTAGACAAGATGAAGTTTACTTCATACTAGCCCTTATATTTTAAAATCACCATGAGCTAGAAATGTTGGGAACCACTGGCACAAAGGTCCATTTGGATTAAATGATAGGGTTGCAGGTTGATTTCAGGCGTTTTAAAAACACCTTTCTTAATCCTGGTGATATAGATTTTTCCGTTGGTTGTTGAAATGTGTAGAATGAAGGCCTTCAGGTGAAGATAGTTGGGGAACTAGTTTCCCAAACTCAACATTTATGTGATGATTCAGACAGTATGCTGCTCCTCAGCTCAGATCTTCAACTTTCTCCTGTTTCGCCCTCTAATGTAAATGTTGCTGCAGCGGTTGAGTAGCAGCTCTCAACCCGACTGTGTATCCAAGCAATATTCATAAAAACCTTCACGCTCACATCCTAACTTTGTATGCTAACATCACTTTAATATTCACATGAAAACACAAAAACACACTGTAGAAATGGAAGAAGGCTCAAAAAGCAAGAAACAAATGTTTTTCTATCAACATGAACACATTTGTCCTCCTTTTGCCTTTTTTGTTTTTGCACGCCTGCCTTGATGTTCCTGATTTTTGTTGTTGCTATATGTGTCACGCTCCATTTTCCTTACCAGTCATCTTCAAGACGCCGTTCTATTTCCTGTAAATGACAAACCAAGACTATTATTTTTATTGGATGATTTTAGTTTGTTTTCATATCTGACCCATCCCACAGCTGTCCAGAAACAGGACAGGGAAAAAAGACGTCCATTTATTTATGACAGAAATGCACTAATTTACTGCTTTATTTCATCTATCTTAAACACAACTCTTCTACCATCTTCCTTTATGTTCTGTCAGTAACTGACATTGGCTTTTTCTAAGCGGTGGCGGCTTCAGGTTGTTTTCTTTAGAATAAAATTGTATTTATTTTATTTTAAAATCGTGTGAGCAGAAAAATTTGAATTGTAATTAATAATAATGCTAACTGTAGATAGTAGTAAACAAACTAACGAGAGCATTGCGCTAGAGTTTCCGTTTACAAGCGCTTGTTAATGCAACTAGAGATCAGTTAGCTGGTGATAGCTAATAGAGAGGAGGTGAACATTAATTGTCACTTTGCTGCAGATTTATGCTCATTCAGGTTTGAGACTCAAAGCTAAAATCGAAAAATTGCTGAGTCATCTGTCACCTAAGCTAACACCTAGCAGTGAGCAAGCCAGCATTGTTTTAGGTTAACAGTGCATTTCCCCTTTTAAATATTAATCAAATAAATAGTGAAATAGGAATAGAGAATCGAAACATCGAGGCTCATAAGCTGTAGATATGTTAACTGAACTAAGCTAAGTGAGGGGAAGAGGGGCATAAGCTAAACTTCCCACCATAAAAATGCAAACTGTGACAAACATTGTTTTAAAAAAGATTTTCCCAGCTTCCAAGTAAACAATCTAAGTCAGTCATCTGCTTTCCATTAGAAGTTTAGCAGAACATGAAAACAATATGTGGATAATAGAAACATGGTGTGAAGAGCAGCTAGCTAAACTCTGCTAGCAGAGCATATGGGGTGCTGTATCTCCTTGAATATGAAGACTTGACTCTTCACAGATGTTTCTGTTGTTCCGTTCACATTTTCTTAGTCTCATAATTGAGGAGAAAACATAGAAAATATCTGTTTTTGTGTATATTTTGAAGCTAAAACGTGCTGTGAAGCTCCAGCTAGCGGTCAGTTAGCTCAGTGGCCAGTAGCATGGCGCAATATGTTTCCTAGCCTAGGATCTTTCGGCTGAAGCCGCCTGCGTGTAGATAAATTATGTCATGGTAACTGCGTTAATATGTCTGCACTGCTCTCGCCACCGCCAACACTTGTACATAGACATCAACAGAACGAAGAAATAATATGGTCAATGTCTAGTTGTGTTACCTCATGTAGCCTCCTTAACCCCACCCAACTGGGCTGTCCACTACATTATTTATAAATGCACCCCTCGAGGAAGACTCAGCCCCCTTAAACCTACATTTTTGTATAATTTTCTCCATCCACTTTTTATTATTGTTGTTCTGATTTATCATCCAGACACATTATTGTTCTTATTGTCACTGTTAATCTAATAATTATTATTATTGTTGTTGATGTTGTTGTTATTATTGTTATTGAATTTTTGTTTGATGTACAGTACCGTTGTATGAAAATTCTACCTAATACAGAGTCTTCTACTGTAATGTGTCTCTTTTCAATAAAGACAAGAATAATGCTTCTTATTATAACTTGAAGTGTGTGTGTGGTCAGTGTTTTTGAAGTGGATTTCTTCAATATTTAGGCATGTATTTCATATTTTCTTTCATTTCCTGGTCACACCTGTGGGAATTTTACTTTGGTTTATATTAGTTTTCTCTATTTGTGGTGTAAGAGGTGGCGAACGAGTATTACCATAATGTAAAAGTATACATAAAACCACATAAACCACTCTGATGTGGTACTTTACAAAGTTCATTAGTTCTGGTTAGCCCACAAATCATTAAAATGATGAAACAAGTCAAAGTTTAAGAATGGTTGAGATTTTGCCCCGCAACCATCTCTGAGGTTTGCAGAGAATGGGCCAAAAGAGTGAGGGTTAGGGTTAGTCTAGTAAGCGGCAGTTCTTTGGGAGAAAATATCTTTTCCCAGGTCAGAGGAGAATGGCCAGACTTCTTTGAAGGCAACAGCAACTAAAATCACCACTCATTGCAACCACAGTATGTAGACAAGCATCACTGACCACACAACATGTAGAAGCAGCAGAAGACCAAAGCGGCTCACAATTCACACATGCTCACCAAAACTTGACAATAGAAGATAAAAATAAATGTTACCTGGTCTGATGAGCCTCAGTTTCTGCTGTGACATTTAGATGGAAGGGTCAGAATGCGGTGTTAGATTTACACCAAAATGAGGTTTTACTTCTCACCACTAAAGCACAAATTTTTCAGTTGTTGGATATGTACCTACTAGATTTTTAGCATCTTTCGTCCATTGTTATGGTATCTTCATCAGCAGGTGACACTCAAGCAAAGTCTCTTTTTGTTTATTTTTTACTCAAAATTATTATTATTATTCTATAAGAAACCTGACAATTTTTGAATTATTTAAATTTAAAATTAGGGATTTTTTTAACTGGAGTTTGAGAGACTCAATCATGTTAAAAGTTTTAGCTTCGAAAAGCTAAAGTTAACATTTTCCAGAGTGTTAAAGATTCAGAAATCAATATATTTGTTGTTTTGTCATTAATAGAAACTCACTTGTTTGTTTTCGGTTATTGTGGGATGGAAATCTAAAATGAGAGAAGGGATGGGGTTGTTGTTTAGGTCCTAAAAAGAGTTTTTATTACATCAAACTCAAACAAGTTATTGCTTGATGAAAATTTAAAATTAGGGATTTTTTCAGTGGGAGTTTTGAATGAGAGAATCTGTCAGCTTTTCCAAGGGCTTCTGGGAATCGTGGTGACCACCACAGAAGAAGAAGAAGGAGAAGATGCGTTTTGGCCTCCTTGACGTCAGAATTAATCAGCAGGAGCTGAGCTGCAGCCGGGCGAGTTGGTGTTAATTCAGGGAGGCGGGGGTAGCTGGGCTGAGGCTGATCCCCCGGGTCTCATTTATCAGTCGCCTGCGACGGCTCGAGTTGATTACAATTTGCAAAAAAAGAAAAAAAGTCATTAGAGTCGCAGGCAGCGCTGACTGTTCACACTGTGCAGGGTCCAGTCCGGATTTAGGTTTCTGTCGCCTTACTCTGAGCTCACATCTGGTTTTTATTGACACTTAGAGTCACATTAATTCAGAATTCCTCATCCACAGCTCTGACATCACGACAATCATCACAATTACGCAACGGGTGAAGACAGAGCCTTTACTTCCTCGCTTATAACCAGGGTCCATGTAGAAACTGTAGAATTTAAGCGGGAAGCTAACGTTAGAGCAGAAAGAAACTAGATTTAAAGATGCAGTCATTCATTTAGATTTGGCCAAATTGCTAATTGTGGGTGAGATGATGGATTTGACTCAGGCTGCTGCACATGAGAACATTTTTTCTTGTATAGAGTGTGACGGTGCCAGTATTTTGAGGAGTAAAAGTGTCGGAAATGTACCTTTAAATTTCCCGCATTTCTGTATAAAAACAGACTAAGTAAACGTTAAATTACTGTAATTTTACAAGTGAAAACAACCCGAAGAACTTTTGTTATTTTCTTCATTAAGAGTCTGAAATGTGCAATAAATTTTCATTTTATCAATATAATATACCTGAAAAGGCTTCAACATCAAAAAACATCACGGGCAACTGTATCCACGTTTCCTTTTCTTCAAGCCACTCTGAAAAGGGGAATGTTTTAAGGGTGAGATTATTTTTTTTAATGTGATAATAGGCCTAAACAGCGCATGCGTCAGTGCGCACAGGCGCATCTACATCCAAACTGTTTCACTCTGAGGATTTAATTTTGTTTCAGGTAAACTTCAGAGCCAATCAGGACGCAGTTTCTGATATCAGGCGAGAACGTGAGGCCTCATGCCGCCCCCCACCTCAACCACCATCGCCGCCATGCAGGCACGTGCAGCTGGTGGGATGACGTCACGTTCAGGTGAATTTCTTCTCTTCCTTTTTTTGTTTAGCCGCTGATGTTTTAGGATAATGCTCTCGGTGGAGACGCCATGGCGCGCTCCCGTTTGCCTGAAACTTTGTTAATATGCTACGAGAATGCGCAATTCAGTCCGCGCAACAGGCTGAACACACATCAAAGTTTAACGACATTGTAATACTGTTTTCATTTTTTTAACAATTAAAATTTAAAGTGCACTCAAACTGCAGTTTAAAGCAAATTATAAATAAATATAATAAAACGTTTTAGAATTTAATCTTTAACCTAGTTTTTCTGACTCATTTCAGCGTTGTTGCGTTTCCTTCATGTCTGAAATCAGCTTTAAGGCCTTCAGAATAAAAAATAATAATAATCTAGACATTTATTTTGTAAAAAAAAATACAAACTTCCGGCCTAGCTGTCATTGATGATGTTGGTAAAAAAAATGCCCGTGTTTTTTATTTATTTAGTTTAACTAAAGTGGCAGGAAGATGAAGATGATTTCCGGGCATGAATGGAGACACTGCAGCTGTTCAACATCTGATCATCTTTTAATTCACACTTTAATTCATCTTTTTTTTGTTTCTCGTCACAAGTTTTGTGTAAATAAATTAGCAGCTTCATTCAATCCAAACAAACAGAAACACACGACTCCTCTGCTTGGTCCCGGAAGTATGTACATGTGGGGGTAGGAGGGGAGAGGGTGTGGGTTGATCAACATGTTGCCGAAACAACCCGTCAGTCTGAGTCTTCCTCCTCCTGCCGCAATTTTCTCTCTGTCTCTTTTTTGTTTTTGGTGCCGCTCAGTCACGCGCTCAGGCTTCAGGTGTTCTTTTATTTATTTATTTTTTAACTTCCTGCAGAGAAGAAGAAGTCCGGAGTCAGCCTCTGCAGTCAGTCGGGTTCCTAGTTTGTGGAGATGTCCACAGTGTTTTATGATCAAACCAACTCCGTTCAGAAAAAGCGGAATTTTCTTGCATCGGTGCCGCAGTTTGAAAAAGAAAAAAAAGAGAGAAAAGAATCGCACCTCTTTAAACAGTGATGAATAATAATTATTTTCAGATTTTACTTTTTATTTTTTCTGATTTCTCACTTCAATGATGTAAACTTATTTTATAAAAATCAAATGAAATGTAATAAAGATAATTATTATCGCAAAGATATACCGAAAGTAATAGCGCTGCGGTGAGAAGATTTTTAAAGATTTTACTTCATGAAACATAATCACATGATTATTTTGAATTATCCTCCTTTATGTTTGAATTTGTCACATTTTCAGATCAGTTTCATTCACTTCATTTGATATTTTTTCTTTTCTCTAAGCTTCGATGAACGAAATCTGTTAAAATAGAAACTATAAAAAATAATAAACCCATCACATTAAACTCATTCACGTTTCTTTCTTTTCTTTCTTTCCTTTTTTTAATGAGTTCTGCGATTTTTGAAAATCTTGAATCCGATATTTTCACAATAAAACAACCCCTCCCCCCTTAAACGCGGCTCGCGGCCTCTCAGTCCGGCCTCGGTCCTCCCGCTTCTTCTTCTACGGTCTGGCCTGCTCCATCTGCTGGTGCTGACTCCTTATTGCGAAGCGGCTCACGTGCACGGGGATGGGCACCACTATTTTGGGGTTCCGGGACGGCTCCCCGGACTTGTTGTTCACGTTTCCAGCTTTCACGCGTTTCCACTTCGCGCGCCGGTTCTGGAACCAGATCTTCACCTGCACTTCGCTCAGCTTGAGCGCATGCGCGATCTGGGAGCGCTCGGTGAGGGACAGGTACTTCTTGCAGTGGAACTCCTTCTCCAGCTCCAGCAGCTGCTCGCTGGTGAACGCCGTCCTCCTCCGCCGGTTCTTCCCGCCGCCTCCGCCCCCCGCGCCTCCTCCTCCCGTCCCGGAGCCGCCGCCGGGGGGCCCGTGCAGGTGCGGGCCTTCATCCAGACCTCCTCCGTCTCCGTCCTCTTTGTGGCACATGGAGGTGAGGTTGTCGTCCGAGCTATAGTCCAGGTCGCTGTCCATGGAGAAGCTCTCGTCCTTTCGGCCGCACTCCTCCTCCTTGGAGTCTTCTTTGCTGTGTGCTCTCACTGTGAGGAAGAGGAGGGACACACAGCACCACCAGTGAGACCAGAACAAAACCAACAAACTTTATCAGTTTAAGGCAGAAACAAAAGTGACAAAAAGTCAACAAAATATTTAAACGCGCTTCTTCCGTTTTCCCCTTTTATTTTCACAGTTTTGATGCTTCTTTATAAAAGATTTCTGATTATTTAATTCTGAATAATAAATTAAGCGACCCAATAAAATAATTTTCTCTCACAATCTGCACTTTTTACTAATCGCAAAGTTTAATTTACAGCTATTACATGTAAGAAATGAGCGAAAATGTGCATTTAAGATTTCTTTAAATGCTCCGCGTGTTTGGGGGGAAATTGATTAACATGTAAAAGCCAAAAACTTTATATTTTCTAAATATGTTAAGAAGAAAAGTTCTGTGAGAGATATGTTAGGAGGAGATGCTGTTAGAATAATTAAATATGAGGTTAGATTTACATTTTTAATGCGAAACTGTGACGTGTGGAAGCTGAAGGGGTGAGGAGGGCGGTGGCTGCGTTGGGGGTGGAGGTATGTGCGTGGTGGGGTTAGGGGTGCAGTTGTCGTGTCTCGTGTCAATATCCATCATGAGGTTAGTGTGGCTCCAAAGAACGCGCTCCGTGAGGATTTTTATTTTCATGCGTAATTACGCGCGGAGTGTCTCCGCGCGGCCTTTCCCCCGCACCTCCCCCTCAGCGTGACACTCTAATGTGTCAGAGATCATCACAAATAAGGGACCCGAGAGGGAACAAATGTGTTTGTTTTATATGAGGAAGCAATAAAAGCGGTGGCGCAGGATTTTTTTTCTCCCCTGTCAGTGAACATTCAAATCAGGATGATTTATCGGCAAAGACAAAAATCAATCAGAATAATTTCAATAATTATTAGAGATTAAATCGACCCACATGGATCCCACTTTTATGAGAATTGTGAAGTTTGGTTTTTAAAATTAATCAATTATTGTTATTATTGTTATTTCTTTTAAAGCTTTAAAATGTTGATTTACAGAAATTAAAAATGAGCGCTGGGCCTGCGAATAATTCCCGAATAATTTATTTTGAAAACGCAAATAAAAACGTTTAAAATCACTGAAGAAAATCAAATTTAAATGTCCCAGTTTCTTTTTGAAAATCGTCGTTAAAAAGCAGATTTTTTTAGTTAATTTCTTGCTTCAATAAAACAGATCAAACCTGGACGGTTTTTGTTTAAACACGTGAAACTCTGTAAACAATGAGGAAATATTCTCGGGTTTCAGCTTCATTTATTTCTCAAATTAACATCTCATCAAACGAACTAAAGTCTTTAAAATTAGGATTTTTTTCCTTCACTGAAATCAGATAAAATGATGAATTTTTCAGCGGGAAACGGGATGAGGAACCCGCCTACCTGTGGATGCGTGTACCGGCGTGTCCGTGTCGTGGAAACCCGGCAGCGCCGCAGACTCCTTCCCCTGCAGGAAGCTCTTTCCGTCCTCCGCGTCCAGCCGCAGCTCCTGAGCTTTGTCGAAGACCGCATGCAGTGCCTGAGAGCCGAACTTCCTGGCTGCCTCCTGGTGCTGCTGGGACGGGGAGAAGCCGCCGGGGAGCGAGGCCATGAGGGTAGAGGTGAGCGCCATGCCCTGCGTCAGGCCCTGCGTCAGGCTGGAGCAGAAGCCGCTCTGCAGGCTCGGGATCTGGGGGTGCGGGTGATGTCCGGTGGGGAGCGCCTGTTGGAGGCCCGGGGGTGGCGGTGGGGGCGGCTGGAGCACCACCGACCGGTATGGCATGAACATCGGGTACCCGGTGTAGACGAAGTGTCCCGGGCTGGGCTGAGGTGGCCCCCCGATCAGAGAGTCAATGCTGAAGGCGGTGGTGCTTCCGAGTGGCCGCTGCATCACCATGAAGGACGGACTGAACGCTGCGCTCATATGAACGACCGCTGGAGCTCGGAGGAGACCGGAGAGGAGTCGCTGCGGGCGGAGGAGCCGCGGGGGTCACCGCCGTTGTGAGGAAAGCCCACAGAGGCTCAGAGGAGCGATAATCCCAGCAGAGAAGAGCATCCCATCAGTGCGGCGGAGGAGAGAGAGTCCCGAAGAGAAGCCGAGAGAGCAACACTTCTTCCTCCTGATTTTAGTTTCCACACAAAAAACAAAACCAGAGAATCCACTGTGCGTGTTTCCGCTCGCACTGACGCACAGTGCGCACCTCAGGGTCCCGCGCCGCTCCACTTCAACTTGACCGGACCCGGTGTCACAGCAGCGGGCTCTTCTCCCTTACTCATCCGCTGACACGGTGTGGGTTTGTGTGTGTCCTCGGTGTATGTGTCTGTAAGCGTGTGTGTTTTTTCACCCACTCGGCGCGCGTCCAGCACTGTTTTGGATTTAAATTGCGCTCCCCTCAGTTTAATTGCGCTGCCTTCTCCGAGAGGGCTCCTCCCCACTCCCCGCGCTCTACGCGATGATTGGCTGGCTGAGATGACGCGATAGGGCGGCTTTGGTATCCTGGATGAATGGCAATTACACAGAGTGGAGCCTCGGGCCATTTAGGCCCGAGAAAACACATCATTGTAAATAATAAGCTACAGATACAGATCATTTAAAAATCCGCATAAATCACCAGGTAATAGTGATCCGGCAAATAATCGGAGCTCCTGAGCTGCAGGATTTATGTGCACGGTGATGTTTAGAGCCTTTTTGTAGACACAGAGGAAAGATGCTTTAGTTCAATTCATTTTTTTTCTTGGACATTCATCAGAGTGTTGTAGCTGCTTCATGTTCCTCCTTGAAGGCTGGAGAGCAGGCTTAAAGTCAAAGCTTCTTTGTCCTTCTCTGGCTGAGAGTTAAAAGCCTCTTTGGTGCCTGACATTCACCTACATCTGTGATGACATCCATCCTTTCACAACCAAATCATATATGTTTGTTTTTAAACATTAGATGGCAGAGAATTGACTTTTTTTCTGGGTCAGATCAGACTGCTGGCATAGAGAAAGGTTTTCTGTAAAAGCGTGCTAAGAATTAATTCTGTAATTTGTAGTTTCACCCGATGGCGGCAGTCTTGTCTTGTTATTTCAGCAGCTAAATCCAGACACTATGATTCAGAAGTTTGTCTGTTTGTCTTGTTGTCATATCACATTGTAATGCTCCAGCACTTTATCACCCAGGTTTAATACAGAAAAGCACACTGAAAGATTATTTTGGACTAAAATATTTTTTATTCTATCTTTTAAGAGGTCATAAACTTTCATCATTTGCAGTACATATATTCATGACTAAATAAGCTTAACATGATGCATTGTATTCATAAAATCGATCATACAGTGTAGTGCTAATAATCCCAAAGAGTTTCAGATGCACTCAAAATTGAGGAAAACTGAATAACTATTAGGTCCACATCTTTTTAATTAAATTTTCAGTTCTGCAAATAAAGATATACATAAGCCCCCTGATAAGGATGAACCATTTTTTAAACACCAGCTCATTTAAAAGTTAAACCATAGAATACAAATTGTTTTTAATTGTCCATGTTCCCACTTGGTGATTAGGTGAATATCAAGTTATATGCAGATGATGATGATTTAAATTACAATCCTGCATGTTTGCACACGTTTCAATAAATCAGAGTATCATCTGCATATAAACTGACATTTACCTTAATTCACACAGAAAGCCCCCACGTAGAAGGCTGTACAATTTAAAAAACAAACAAAAATAGAATCGTATATGGAGCTCTGTGGAACACCACCACTTAGTAAAATAAAAAATAACAGAATATAAATCTTGATGCTGTGCTGCTTTAAATGGTCTGAGTGTTGGCAGAAGCTAATTTTCTTTCTTCTCCTCTCATCACAAACAGCTTCTTCCCATGAACTATTCAGACTGTTAACAAATACTATTTCCCCCACACCCCACTACCCGCCCACTCATGTCACCAATCTAAGCCATGGTCTGAGTAACCCTCATCACTCAGGTCACTCACATATGGACTCAAACCAAGTCCTTTGCACTACTACTACTAATTTTGTTTCGTTTATTCAGGCCATAGCTGTGGGAACATGGCTCACGTAGGTGGTGCTGTGAGTGACCCAGTATGAGTAAAGTAGCAGCACTCATGTGAATAAGACCTGTATAAATGATAACTGCTGTAAGTATATTTGTCCTTATATTATTGTGGTCTTTAAAAAAAAGATTAAATACTTTGTAGAAACACAAATCACAAAAGCTCAATTAAACTTTATTTATTCATTTTTAAATTGAGCAACTTTTTATGATTCACCAGGTGGGAGCAAACAGGACTGTTTTAGGACTTATATTCATACACATTTTCCATTTATTTGTATAGTTTCAGCAAAGTAATAAAAGAAATGCTGTATCTACAAATTTTAAGTACAAGTACTTAAAATTGTAGTTATGATATTATTATATTACTTGTGTAGAAACAAACGTCCATACAAACAGACACATTTCTGTATCATTGTGTTTAAGTGTTTGAACAGCTAGACAGCTCTGCCACCATCTGGTCAGACTTTGAATTATGACACTTCTAGTTAAAATTTATATTGGGCAGTTTATTAAAATTGACACTGTTACACATAATTTAGATTTTTTTTTTAAAGCAGAACAACATCAAAGACAAAAAGTTTGAAGAATAATTGGGTTGATGGGTAAAATGTTAAAAGAAAAAAAAAAAGAGCACTCTCTTTGAAAGGTCCAAATAGCTTCACTGCTCCTTGGCATTGATTTTCCTAGTGATGAATGTGTTTTTCTAAATGTATTCCCACAGTTAATGTTTTGTTTGTCTCACACTTGGTTCCAAAATCTCTCATAAGTGTTCAGCGTCCTTACTTACTGCACCCTGGAAACAATTTTTTTTTTAATTTTACACATATTTAGCATAAAAAAACATGAATTAATTTCAGAGTGAGCAGTTTTCATTTCAGTGAGTCTTTAAACTAAATGAAGACTGACTCAGGTTTGCTCTGCCTCCTGTCTGGCACCTCTGGTTTGAGCAGTCATTAGTTAATAATCAGAAAGGTCAGTTCCTGCTCAGACAACAGAGAGTTTGTTGTCATTTACCTTTATCTGAGAGAATGTATCACTAGTAAATCATCCAAAATGTTAATGATGCAGACACCAAAATAAATGCCATAAACCAGATGTTTCCAAACGTAAGAAAAACATGAATCACCCAAACCATTAGCCATAACTTAGACTGACACTGACATTTTTCCTCCTTTCTGTTTTTGGCTTGTGTTTTATGATCTCTTGGTTTGCCAACTGATTTATAGCTTTGGGTGGGTAATGATGGTTAAGATTAAGCCTTTAGCTACTTTTACCAAGGTCCATTTAAATTCTCCTTAAAATCTTGGTTATAACTGACTAAATTGACATTTCTCTTGTGGCATATGAGTCCAAAAGGTGCACAACTCTTCAGGAACCACTGCCAGCGCAAGTCCACTTGATACCTGCTGTTGTCACCTTTGTGAATGGTAGCAGGCAACAAAACATGACCTCACGTTCACTGGTTTTGTTTCAGTGGGTCATGCGTCTCTCAGGCTGAAGACAGGAGTGTGTGATTGTGTAGTTTTTACCACCATTTCAGTGGTACTTCAGATTTATGAGGAGAGAAACGCTTCAACGGCTTGGAAAGATGAGACTTCTGTTTCCTCAGTACCAGCAGTGATGCAAAGATTTTTTTCAGCTATCATTCAGAGATGGCGTTCTGGCGTGCGCCCGGTGCTTGTGTAAATGTTGATGTCAGTGTTTACATATGGCACCATCAGTGGCTGAAACATTAAATATGCCCGTTAAAGATTCCTATCTGATCCCTTATTCACCGGGGTTTGCACTGTATTTTTAATCTGGCAGATTTTTACTCTGGATGCTTTTTCGTGATGCAACCCCAAAGGGATTTGCATCTCCTACTGGCCTCAAACTAGGGATCTTTCACGTGTGAAGGAAATGTATGTAAAGCACTGCATTATGAAGCCAATATTAACCTACCCTTTAAAGTTAGTTTGGACCAGCTGGGGGCTTCCTACTGGTTAACACCAGTCTAACCAAACCTACCCAAGGCCCTTGCTGTTTGTTTAGCTGTTCATTTACAAAAACTGAAGTCTGGTTATACAGACGTTAGTAGCTTATAAGCAAATATGTGAAATGAGACGTTGTGTTAATTTAATCGAAGGATCTTCTAAAGCAGGCCTTCATTTAGTGCTTTCACCTATCATCCTGAAATCTGGCAGTTTGACCATTCACACAGGTGCAGAGTCAGTGTAAAATAAATAAATAAATACATACAAAATGTATACATTTAATGAGACAAGTTTCTCATTCAGTTTAATCCATTAATGATGCTTCTGTGCTGTCTGCGTGGGAGGCTGTTAAGCATTTAAATGACAGACATGTTAAAGCCTGCAAATACTGTAATGCATGCACACGGGAATTCATATTTCTGTGTTTTAATCCTCTGAATCCTGCCATCAGCGCCTCTTCCATCTGCTTTAAGTTTGTTTTTTTCTGACTCGTCCTCTGGCTCGTGTTGTCGTGGCTCCTGATGAGGTCTGAAGTCGTTGGCGGAGTGATTATCCCGCGATCCATCTCCTGCAAAACACAGCTCTAAATCACAATATTTGCTCGCACGCCGGCATCAAGCTCCCTTCTAATGAATCCTGTAATGGCTTCCTCATCAATTAATACGAAGCTTGTCGATGCCGCCGGCGAACACACGGGCCATCTTATGAATCCCGGTGACCCCTGACCTCCTGCGGATCTCCCAGTGGACCCTCCTCTCTTCTCCTAAGCTGAGTCAAGGGCACTCCCCCTCCTCCTCCTTCCTCCTTCCCTCCCTTTCCTCCTCCTCCTCCTCAGGGTCACTGGGACACGATCTCATTAAAGGCGGCCTGATCTGCAACTGCAATGCAGACATTAAATAGCAGTATTTTTCAATTAGGGCTGACAAATTCAATCAAAATTCCATAGATTAGGATGAAATGAGGCATGGGTCATTTACAAGGGAATTTAATTGCACGGCCATTAGACAAATAGTACAGCAGTCTCTGTCTCATTATCAATCACACGGGGGCATCAATAGTAAAAGGTTGGAAGGCAGGAAGGGAGAGGGGGGGCCGGGGAGCATAGGTGTAAGTGTCCGTGCACGGGGAGCGTGCACGTTACAGCTCTGCCACCACCGCAGAGCAGCTAATAAATACCCTCTTTTGTACTTATAAATTATCCAGTTTAATTAACAACATGGATTATGATTGGACTATGATTTAATTAAACCTCTCCTGCATGCAAGTCGAGCACCACGACCATCCATTAT